AAAAATGACGTGACTAGTCAGGTAATCATGCCCTGGAGTGTCATTTCTTTGTTTTTTAGTGGAGAATTTGGAAAAAAATGCGAGGCAAACAGGAAATTTTATTATTTGCTCTGGAAAATTTACGTGACTGTCACGTAATTTCTTACGAACTTGTAAAATTTACCACAGTTCTGGTAAAAATTATTCCGAGTAACGTAAAAATTATCCAGTTTCATTTAAATTTTATGTGACGTACCGTAATTTTTACGTGACCGAATTTAAAAATTCCTAGACAGCGTTGGTGGTACGACTGTTGGCCATACCCGATCGCGAATCATTGTCCAAGTTGGGATCACGTCACCCGGCAAATTATTATTGTCGGAAGGATGAAAAAACATTACAGGTGATTGTTGAAGTTTTGATCCCGTCAAATCATTTATTAATTAAATATCCTCTCCTTCAATTATTATTATTGAAAAAAAAAAGTTTGGGGAAAAATTACGGAAGAATTCGGCAAAATTTACGGAACCGAGTGGTAAAATGTTCTGAATAATCGGCACTTTTTCCGATTTAACATTTCACCCCACGTTTACCTTTCACACATGAATTTTGACGGAACTTTTTACGTACTTTTTCCAGTATTTTTCTCTCCGTGTAGAGCAGCCGCTGGTACCGACATGGTTTTTTCTGTGCTTTCTCATCTCACTCCTATGTTCTATAGGAGAGTGAATACGGTACAGTTGGCGCCAAGCATCCGAACCGTTCGGACGCTAAATCCAAGGCAGCAATTTTTCCTTGTACAAAATCCAGTAATCCCCGCCACGGGGACATTTTCTCTTTTACTCCACTATAGTTCCTTTCTAAAAGTGTTACACCCCTCATTAACTGTTCATTAAAAGTTCATCACAAAAATTCACCACACTCATTTACAATGAGGTTGAAATACAGTGACGGCGGTTAACGAAAAGGAGCCTTACTGAATAAAATGTCATCCAACACTAGACCGGGCAGAGGAAGAGGCAATCTCCCGCGACCGTCACACCTAATCAATCCTAAAACACCAAAAAGGAAAATCACGGAGCAAGTACACTCCACTTCTCCAGGAATAAGAAAAGGCAAACCCAGCCCAGGTAACATCACCGGTGATCGCCTAAACAAAGAACTCCTGGAATTGAGAAAATTATACGGAGGAAAAACTACACCCTCCACACATACTCTCCAGCAAAATCCACTTGCTGCAAACATCGCATCACAGGAGAAAACTCTCCACAGCACACAAACCCAATCAAATAATATCGAGAATTTCCCAGCAAATTCATCGTATTATGATTCAACTTCTCCGAAATCAAAACGACCGAGAAAGTTCTACGAACACCAAACATCAACAACAACACCTGCAGATCCCCCCCTCGATTCCTCGGGCTCAGAGGACGAATCATTCGAGGACTACAGAGCAGACGATAAGGAGCCAGAAAACGTTCTCGAAAACTCATCGCAGACAGCCCAAGCACCACATCAACAACGCAGAACGGGTCAACGACCGCCTCCAATACATTCAAAAGGAAAATCTCTGAAGGCCATCGCCGAATTATTGTCAACACCCGAAACTAACGATAAGTTTTACTTGCGGCAACCCAAAGATTCCCAATACGTTTCAATTTTTCCGCTAAATTTAGCAACTTATAAAAGTTTTAAAAACACACTCTCCAAAGAAAAAATTGAATATTATACATATACCCCCAAAGAGGAAAAAAATAAGAATCTTATTCTAAAAAATCTTTACGGAGACTTTAATGAATCCGATATACTTAACGCTCTAAACGATTTTAAAATCCCAAACATTAATATTATTAAAATTTCAAAAATTATCTTAAACAAAATTACCAAAAAATTTGCTTTTTTAGTCCAGCTCAGTAATGACTCAATAGTCAAAAACTTGATAAAACACAATATAATTTTATATCAAAAAATATCCTGCGAACCATTAAGGAAAAATTCACTTTTCCAATGTAAAAATTGCCAAAGAATCGGGCACTCCAGTTCCAACTGCTCCCTTTCATTTAGATGTGTAAAATGCGCAAAATCGCATAATCCAGGCGACTGCGAATTTAAAGGATTAGTTGATAAAGCATTACTAAAATGCGCTAACTGCAACCAAATAGGTCACCCAGCCAACTACAAGGGCTGTCCCTATTATAAAAAAGCATTAGAACTATCCAAAAATATCAAAAATAACACTAAAATAAACACAATAACTAAAATAAATAATATCTCGAATAGAGTCATCCCGACCGTCACGTATGCGGAACGAGCGAGAGGGTCTAAAACCCCACATAATAATATAACAAATACCCCAATCAATACCGACTCAAATTCTACCGCCCCAAGGGCACAAACCAATACCGTCGATTTAGACTCAAACCCCGCTCACATGGAACTTCATTCCCCCCCACCATGGGCCACTACCATGACCCACTTTATAATACAGGCTGTCACCAACAAACTAACACCTATCTCGGAACAAGTTAGAGTAAATACTAACAATATTAAAGCCATAATGGATCACCTTAAACTAAACACAGATGGCGACACTTAGCCCACACACCAACCGAAATCCTATAAACATCTATACTGAAATAGATGAATTAATAATCACTTCAAGAAACGCAAATTCTTTATAATTAAATGATAAAAATAACATTACTCCACATTCCCCCACCCCACTTTTCTTTTTCTTTTTCTTTTTTCTTCTTTCCCTCTCCTCTCTCTTCTCTCCCTATCTTTAACTTTCTTCCCTTTTCCCCCC